TGTGTGTGTGTTCTCTCTCTCATGTGTTTGTGGTGTGTGTGTGTGTGTGTGTGTGTGTGTGTGTGTGTGTGTGTGTGTTTGAGACAGGGTCTCACTATAGAGCCCCAGCTTTCCTGGAACTCACTACATAGACCAGGCTGGCCTGGAACTCATAGAAATCTGCCTTCCTCTGCTTTGGAAGAGAGGGACTACAGGAATGTGCCATCACACTCTGCTGCTGCAGGATCTTGATTGCAATGGTTGTACCATGCTCAGAAGATAGCATTTGCAGCACATCTTCTGGCTCTCACCCCCCACCCCTGTCCTTTCTTACATGATGTTTCCTGAGTCTTAGAAGGGAAGAAATAAATGTCGTTTTTAGGAGTGAGCACCCATTCTCAGTCCCCTGAGCAGCCAGGAGTGTTCATTCACTGCTATTCATTGCAAAAAACTTCTCTGATTAAGGTGGAGAGCAGGGCATAAGCATAAATATTTAGAAGGCAGTTTGGGGTCAGAAATTCTATTCTTATATTATTCCCCCCTTTATATCCAGTTTCTTTAATATAAGACACTATCTTAACTGTTGTTCAGATCCTTTCTGTTTGATAACAGGGTGACAAGCTGAGTATGGTAGTACATGCCTTTAATTTCCAGATGCAGAGGCAGGTAGATCTCTATGAGCTCTAGCCTGGTCTATGTAGTGAGTTCCTGGCTAGCCAGAGCTACATGGTAAGACCCTGTCTCAAAAAAATGACGGCAATGGGAATGAAGTAAACATAAAACAATTTACAATATTAATATATAATATTCATAAGGGAATTATGAAGACATGATCATGAACGGTACTTATTTTTAATTTTTGTGTGTGTGAGTGTGTGTATGTGTGTGTGTTCACATGTTTGAAAGAGCCTGAGGAGGCCGGAAGATTGGGTGTTGGGTTGCCTGGAGGTGGAGTTACTTGTGGTTGTGACCTGCTGGATACAGGTGGTGGGAACTGAGTTCTGGTCTCTGAAACAGTAGCAAGTGCTCTTAACTGCCAAGCCATCTCTCCAGCCAACCCCTTTTTGTTTTTATTGATGCATATGTGTGTGTGTGTGTGTGTGTGTGTGTGTGTGTGTGTGTATGTATGTATGAGTGGTCCCTCTATCCATTCCATATTCATTTTGTCCACAATTGATCATGTTTTCTTGTCTAATAAAATTTTTTTATTCATTTTACATATCAATCACAGATCCCCCACTTCCCTCCTCCTGCCCTTCCAGCCTCCCTTTGGAGAAATTCTTAATGGATCTTAAGGCATACAATCATCTCAGAAGTCCAAATATCTAAAAGAAGACTCTGAAGAATATAGAACATTGTAGAACCAGGTGTTATTCCACACAAATTAAGTAAGCCAACATATCAGCAACACATGAGTAAACTAAAAAGGACTTTCTTCCTTCCTGCTCTTGCATGTCCCAGAAATGTCCTCTGTGACCCATCTTTAGCCGGAAACACACTAAAATGACAATTTGGGAAATGTAACTCATCCAGCCAAGCTGACATCATAGAAACACCAGAGTTCATCCAGTTGTCAATGTGGAACATACACGCATCTTCCATAATGTTGAATCTCTCAATGAATGTAATATCACACAGCCGAGAAACCCTGTCTCAAAAAAAAAAAAAAAAAAAAAATCACACAGCCAAAGTCATGCTGACCCTTTGCCCAGAGGACTATACAACATTCATTATTTCTGTGTTGGATGCGGTAAATTCTTCTAATTGAGTCAGATGCCCTGTTTATAACCTATTTTTTTTTTTGGATTGATGTGCATGCATAATAATCACATGAGGGGTTGGGGGATGGCTCAGTCAGTAAAGGGCTTACAGCTAGTCCAGTCCCCAGAACCCATGTCAAAAGCCAGGAGGAGTGCCGTGCACCTGTAATCCCAGACCTAGGAAAGTGGAGACGGGGGCTTCCCTGGGCTCACTAGCTAGCCAGTCTAGCTAAAATCAGTGAGCCTCAGGTTCAGCGAGAGACCTTGTATCAAAATCATATAGTGGAAGACATCTGACATTGATTTCTGGCCTGTACAAGCACACACACACACACACACACACACACACACACACACACACACACACACACGAATAGGCTTTTCTTTTTCTTTTTTTTCCCAGACAGGGTTTTACTGTAGTCCTGGCTGTCTTGGAACTCACTCTGTAGACCAGGCTTTTGTGTGATTACAGAGCATGTTTGTGAGTTCTAACCTGTCTTTTAACTGATATTCTTTTGACTGATTTCCTTTCCTGATTGTCCATTCTATTGTTTGTGTGTGTGCATGTGCATGTGTGTACATACGTGAGATTGCAAGAGTATATACGTACGTACGTACGTGTGTGTGTGTGTGTGTGTGTGTGTGTGTGTGTGTGTGTGTGCTTGAGTGTGGAGGTCAGAGATCAACTTTGGGTTCCATTCTTTGGGAACAATGTATCTTGTTTTTTGAGACAAAACTCATTCGTACCTAGGGCTCATTGACTAGGCTAGGCTAGCTGTCCAGCCAGTTCCAAGGATCTGCCGGTGTCTATGTCTGTCTCTCCAGGCAGTGTTACTACATCGAGGTTTTTCTTATGTAGATGCTGGGGACTGAGCTCAGATCCTCATGATGGCCTGGCCAAAAACTTCTCCCCAGGCTGCCTCATTGCACATTTTAGTTTAACAGCTGCATGTAAGTCGCTTACCTAGCTTCCATATCAGGTAAGGTCAATATTTCACAATATGATCCAGTATACTCAGATGTATGTGTGAGATTATCATACTGCTTAGAATTCTGGAGTTTGAGTGTATGATAAAATAAGTAATAAGGAACTCACAAGACCTGCATAAGATTGGGCCCATGAACATTTCATCATAGATGGAAACTGGCCCCTGAGGCCTCACCAGAGAGACTACTGACCATTAACAGTGTCATTTCCTTCAGTAAAAGACTATGTAGCCACAGATAAGCTGCCCTCACTCCACTAAATAAACTCCTGCTTGGGCTAGTATCTTTGTACGTGGGTCACATACAAAGAGAAGAAATGAAAGCGGGGGGGGGGTGTAATATATTCCTTGAGAAAAGGGGGTTCTAGTAGGAGATGGAGAAGAATAAGGTATGGAAATGAGGGGGTGAAAATGACTAATGTCATTATGTACATGTGTGAAACTGTAAACAATTAAGAAAAGCAAACAAACAATACACAGTGTAAATACATATACATACGCACCTATATAGACAGACATATCTGTATTTCATAATGAGAAGACAAAATATTTGTGGAGTTTATAAGTTCTAGGATTTTAGAGTGGTCATGCTTTGCAAGATTCAATTAGTTGAATAATTAGAGATGTGACATAATCAGTAACAGATATAAACTTGTATGAAAATGTCCATATTTGAAGGTTGAAAAGATGATTCAGCAGTTAAGAGCACTGGCTACTCTTCCAGAGGACCTGGTTTCAGTTCCCAACACCCACAATGTGGCATATGGATCCTCTGTAACTCCAGTTCCAGGAGATCCAGCGCCCTCTTCTGGCCTCCACAGCCACTGCATGCATGAAGTGCTCAGACATAAAAGCAGGAGAAACATCCATACACATAAAATAAAAAAGAGAAAATGTTCACATGTAACAACACCAATCATATACAACAAATATATCTGATGAAATTTAAAATGAATGTAAAATTCTTTTCCTAACTTATTTCTGAAGTTGCGTTTCTTGCATCACACTTCCGTCTTCTCCCTGTTCCCTCAGGGGCTGAGGAAGGGAGCATGTGGAGGTGGAACCAGACCTCTCTGGAAGACTTCATCCTCCAAGGGCTCTTTGATGACTCCTTCAACCACTTTTGTCTTTTCCTCCTGATCTTGCTGGTCTTCCTTACCGCAGTGAGTGGCAACAGCCTCACCATCCTCCTCATCTGTGCCGATCCCCGTCTTCACACACCGATGTACTTCCTGCTCAGCCAGCTGTCCCTCATGGATCTGATGCACGTCTCTACAACCATTCCCAAGATGGCTAGCAACTACCTGTCTGGCAAGAAGTCCATCTCGTTTGTGGGCTGTGCCACCCAGCACTTCCTGTACCTGTCTCTGGGTGGTGCAGAGTGTCTCCTCCTGGCCCTCATGTCCTATGACCGCTATGTTGCCATCTGCCACCCCTTGAGGTACACTGTGCTCATGAGCAGAAGAGTGGGAGTGATGATGGCTGTCATGTCATGGTTGAGTGCATCTGCGAATTCCCTAATCCACACATCCATCTTGATGAGCTTCCCTTTTTGTGGTTCAAGAATCATCCACCACTTCTACTGTGAGTATCCTGCTGTTGTGAAGTTGGTGTGTGGTGATGTCACTCTTTATGAGACCACAGTCTATATTTGCAGTGTTATACTTCTCCTCCTCCCCATCATTCTTGTCTCTACATCCTATGGATTCATTCTCCACAGTGTCATTCAGATGCGTTCAGCTGGGAGTAAGAGAAACGCCTTTGCCACATGCAGCTCACATCTCATTGTGGTTTCTCTTTGGTATGGTGCCTGCATGTTCTCCTATATGAGGCCCAGGTCCCAGCGAACTCCATTGCAAGACAAAGTTGGTTCTGTTTTCTATAGCATCATTACTCCCACCCTGAATCCTCTTATTTATACTCTCAGGAATAAGGATGTTGCTAAGGCTCTGAAGAGAGTGTTGAGGAGGGATATTGTTGTCTAGGGACTGCAATTATACTTGCCCTGGATACAGTACTCCTTACATTGATCAGGACAAAACACTAAGACTTTTAGGATCCAGATTTCTGATGCTCTTTGAGGAGGACATGAGTGAAGTTTTAAGCTTGAAGCTCACCATTATAATTTTTTCCCCCAGCAGGCCATACCACAAATTATGGCCCAGTAAGCTGTTTGCAGTGGGGGGCAGTACTAAAATATCTCTTTAGAGGAGTTCATACAGGGCAGCAGCTCAGTTGGTAAAGTGCTTGTTGTGCAAGCATGAGCTGAATTCTGTCCCCAGAAATTTGTATAAAAAGCCTCACATGGCGGCATGAACTCATAATCCCAGTGTTGTAGAGGTGGAGACAAGCTGATGTCTGTGTCTCCCAGTCTAGCCAGCCTGGTTGAATGGGCAGTTTCAGGTCAGGGAGGCTCAGAGAGGGTGGATGACTCCAGAAGAGTAACAACCAAGGTTGAGCTCTGGTCTAGATACACACACACACACACACACACACACACACACACACGCACACGCACACGCACACGCGCACGCACACGCACACGCAAGCACATGCACACACACACATACAGACACATACACACACACACACACACACGAAAGCACATACACACACATACACATGGTGAGTGGGGATAGAATAGATAGGAATGCAGTGATAGAGACAGAGAGACAGAGAGACAGAGAGACAGAGAGATTAAAAAAGGTAAAGAAGACACATAAAGGCCAGTGGAACTGAAAAAAAAAGTATGGTAGTGAAACAGGGTCTTTTACAATTATTATTTCTATTATTTAAACTAGGCAAAGCATGCTGAAAGAGAGGGAATAATTGGGCCACTGTGGTAGTTTCGATAGGTATGGCCCCAATGGACTCATGTGTTTGAATGCTTGGTCTGGTCTATAGGGAGTGTCACTATTAGGACATGTGACCTTGTTGTAGTAGGAATGACCTTGTTGGAGGAAATATGTCACTTTGGCAGTGGGTTTTGAAGTCTCATATGCTCAAGCTATGTCCAGTGTGGGACCCAGTTCACTTTCTGTTGCCAGTGGATCAAGATGTAGAACTCTCAGCTCCTTCTCCAGCACCATGTCTGCCTGCATACCACCATGTCCCACCATGATGATAATGGACTAATCTCTGAAGTGTAAGCCACTTCCAATTAAATGTTTTCTTTTATAAGAGTTGCCTTCATCATGGTGTCTCTTCACAGCAATAGAAACCCTAACTAAGACAGACATGTAGATGTAACCAATCGTATTATTAAAATAAGAA